GGAAAGAGAGAAAGACAGAGAAATTCCGGAATCCATTATAAAAGAATGATCGGATAGGCATTAACATGATTAATGAAGGCATAGGAATACACGAAGGATAGCATAAAACGAACAAGGATGATTGAAGATGATGATGACGACTAGATAATGAGGGCTCGACATTTCAGGTCAATGGCGCGTAAAACGTATAATAAATAGAATGATAGAAATGTCCACTCAAGGACGAGAGACATCCTTCTTAATCGAATAGCCGCGACAAGAAAGGCGAACCAGTTACATTAGCTCTTCTTCCTATGATATAAATTTGAAGAAATTAAATAGCTTCTAATAAAGGTCGCTGATACATATCGTTAATATGCTAAAACAGCCATTCTGTTTCTGCATGTAAATTTAATAAAACACACATTGCATTCTTTTTATTTAATTTAAAATTAACAAATAATTTTCGAAGAGGAAGAAGTATAGAAAAGGCCAAAAAATCCATTTAATATTATTGTTGTGTAAATATCACTGCCTTATTTTTTAATTTGAAGAAGTACTTCCCAATATTTATTCCTAGAATTAAAGTTGTAAAATATGAAATACACAATTGGACAATGAAATATGGAATACTAAATAATATGGAGTTATACAAGATAAGATTTTCCGACACATTGTCGATTACGTGATATTAAAAATCCAAATGGAAATGAAAATAAATTGCGTGAATGATTATACGCGCAAAACTGAACAATGTTTGAAAAACAGGAACCAGGAAATAATAAATTTGTAAATTTATATTCTTTTTGCGATGTGCACGCGGGGGGTAATTTTACGAATTTTATCTAAATTTTATTCACGAGGACCGATGCGATAGAATGAGCTTATGACATCATTTTATACTAATTTTGTTCCCTTTTTCTTACCTTCGGTGCGACGGAACCTGCAACGATCCAATCTTGTCATCGAGGAACCTTCTCATGGCAAACCTGTCCAGCGCTTGATCGCGTCCCCCGCAGATGCTGCTGTAGTTCATATAAGCGGACACTGCCACACCCAGCCGTTCCTTGCTGCCTCTGAAGAGAAGGCGATAACGTTAACTTGGAACTACATTGCGAACGCGCGACGTCTGTTGCGTACCTTCTCTCTGTAAGAGGTAAGACGCGGAAAGATTTTGCCGCGGGGGCTGATCGCGCTTTAATGACGTTATTATTCACGATGAATGGAAATGGCTAACGGGAAGTTACGAGTTTCGAAAGGGCGGTGAATGTATATACCGCGGCAAAATTATGACTTTTATGATCGACCGTTTGAACACTGGACGTTCTATAGATAGAGAGATATTCTTATGCCAATAGTTTGTATCTTTTGAAAACGATTTCTTTGCGCTTTGAAAGTCTCATTTCATATTTCATACTTCTTTTGTATAGATATAAGTACCATTAAAGTCGACCGTAAATTAAATTGCAAAAACTTAACTTTTAATCTTTCTGAAAATTATTAAAAGAAATTAAAAGTTAAATTGGATAAAAGTGAAAAATCGCAAAGTTACCTGGTATGCAGAACAACGACGCGATTAGAAGCGCCGTTTAACCAAGAGTCCAGCTCCTTGCAAAGGGCGCACAGTCTCTCCAAACTTGGTGCTAATCCCTGCGGCCATCCAGCTTCCCTCGTATTCGGCTCACCGGGTCGACCAGGTGACGATAAATTAAAGATCTGGAAATCAGAAATATATCTAAAATTTTAAGAAAAATAAAAAGCAAAAAGATATAAAATAACTATATAAATAACTATATAAATTTTTATTTTGTTGAAGAGAGATTTGTTCCAGTAATTGAGATAAAATCTTTTCCAATCTCGATTTTCTAAAAAATTTCAAGATATTAGTTTACTTATATTCTAATAAAATAGAGCCAAATTATACATTTTGTAATAATCTTTGCGTATTTATCTTCGCGTTGGCTAATGTTACAAAATGCAAAACATTTTTCTTCTTTTCACTTCAAAAGACAGAGTAATGAAAAGCCAGAAAGATTATTGAAATTCTTACCATGTAATTATCGGCGTGTTTTCCGCGCAAAAGGGTCGTGGCATGTTCGAGGACACCCTGCGCATCCTCCCTATACCAAAGAGCGATGATCCTTTCGGTGACGTAACAGAGCTCCATTACCTCCGTCACGCGACCTCCGCCCTTTCCCGGTCCCGTCATCGTCGAATCCGCGCCGACGCCCGGTGTCCTCGCAGGCGTTGACGCCATCGCTGACGTCTGCACCTGTAATCCGATGGTTTATTCGAATTTGATATCGACTATAGAAATGTTAAAAAAAAGTTTAAATGTGGAATAATTAAAGAAATAATTATAATTTATTGCCAAAGAAAATATTTTTTGTATCCGTAGGTGATTATAAAGAGATGCAATGTCAATATTATTGTAAATAAATTTTTAAAGCAATTGTTCTAAATAATTATTATATTTTCAAATTTTTCTTTGCATCATTATATCAGCATATAATACACAAGATTTATTTTTATGAATACATATTATCCATTGCAAATAAAATTGTCTAAATTCGTTTTCGAGAAGAAAATCCTCTCGTGAATAGCTCCACTCTCATCCGAAAATCTTTCCGCAAGATTTGTTTCTGACTACTGCAAAACTTAGTTTCCCTTTACGAAACAATGTCGCGCCAGACAATCAAATTTTCTTCGTGGAGAACAGATTTCATTTCTTTAGTCTTTGCTTACGAATTCACTTCGTCCTTTATTGTTCTCTTCATAGTAACTTTGATATGTACAATTTAGATAAATAAATCGTAATACGTAATAATATTTTAAAAAGAAATAACGCCAAGAAAAATTATATCTCTGATAATTTAAATTTAGAACATATGTTACACATTGTAAAGAAAAAAGTTTATATTAAGAAGAAAATCATGAAATAGTTGGATATTCAAAATTTTGTAACACTATAGTTGTGTGTGCTCATTAATATTGCAATCAGTTTAATCCATAAATTAAATACTAATAAATAATTACTAATTTATTTATTTTTCGAAGATACAACTTGAATAATTATTGAAGGATTTACGTCATGTCTATCAAATTCACTTCCACTTCGATTATATCACACACATCATAATCTCATAACTAAATGCACAATTATCATAATTATTGATAATCCGGCATTGTCCATTCATACGACGTGGAATTAATTGCATCAACCTTGGAGTACTTCGGCGCGTAGACGATCCTGACGACGATATTCCCCGACATGGCGATATCCTTACGGAGGACACGCTATCGCGGAATAGACCGACATGTAATCCCGGCGCTTTAACGGGAACGCCGCGAGTTTATTCCGCCATGCGAGAGAGATGAGGACACCGAGAGAGATATGTCGGGATGATGCGCCGTGTTCCTCGCCGCGGAACGATACACTGCCGGGTATTGTGTTTCGCCTGGTTCTGCTGGAGATACGCAAGAATATCTAGTAGCCGGTCGGCGGTTTTGTCAGATAATCGCGCCGCCTTCTGTCATGTATGTCTGACGTGTGCCAGCTCGCGCGCTCCAGGGCCGGTTTACCATCGCCATCGTCATTTCGCGATGTTTATTTGCGAGTCGTGATCAAAGAGATTTTCGATTCCGCTATGATTAAATCACTACGCTCATAATCGGTGATAAGCATCTTGATCCTCATTGATAGTATTGTAATATTGCTTCTCAGTTTTAAAGATTTTCGAGAGATAATTCTAAGATACTAAAAAATATATTTTATTTTTTATTAGATAAATTTCAAAGCCATTTATCGTACTTTACGAAAATTTTTTTTAACTTGTTGAAGTTTAATGGTAAATGCCTTGATTGATCCAAAAAGTTCTCAATTTCTACAATTTTTTAATCTTTTATAAATTATCCAAAATAAGGCAATTAGGTGTCTTATTATGAATCATTCGATTACGTCTACGCAAAGATTTCTTGTTAAAGCGGCCCTGCATGTAGATGAGAATGCGCTCGCGCGTGGACGCGTGATGTAACGAATTCGTGCAGGTAGCGTGACTTTGATTCCCACCGAATAGTCACGCTATTCGCGCTGCCAATCGAGCCGTGGTCGTTGCTAAGACCGTCTTAATACGATGCACGGCTTGCGGAAGGCGCGCGAATAATTTGTCGCGGAGGACGTGCGAAAATTGCATGTACAAGCAGGCGCGCGAACCAGCAGGATGTACGTTGCGTTTTTGCACAGGTTGCTGCGGTTTCTTCCTCGCCGGCGAATATTCGCGGCGGGTACTTTGTTGAGGTAGCCGGAAGAATCATTTATAGGGTCTCGGGCAGAATCGCGAGTACTATCGCCCTTGAGATACCGCGTTATTGATGGCGCTTGTTAAAATTATTCGCGTGATTTATACCGGATTACGACCGTAAGTTGTTTGCGTTATCTGCCTCTAAGCACTCATCTCTCGTGTCCCGCTTCGAGAAATTTTATCAGAATTGCAGATAATTCGCTGCGCTCAACAGACGTAGTAATGTAATCCGTAAGTCTGACAAGTTGGCCTTTCTGTACTAACGCGCATATAATTCCCGACTGTATTCAACCGTTCTCTGCCTGGCCCTTTTAAGCGATTTACCGAGACTCCGCTTTGTACGTTAGACTATGGTGTTATAACTAATTATAGCGCTGGAATGCCAAAACGCCTGTGGCATAGCCACAGTATGTCATTGTAATCCTGTACTTTAATCCTGTATATATATATATTCTTATCCCACAAATTATATCGCGTATAATACTAAAATACCGAATGTGGTAAAAAATAGTAAATTCCTGAACATGTATCTTTCTTTCTAAATAAAAAACGCGTAATGAATTTATATCCGAAACAAAAATATATGGTCAGAAAGTGAAGGGGAGGACGCAAAGGACGAAGAGATGACGAATGAATATGCTGGATTATTCGCGTTCGAGTCAGAAATATCAAGGGCGATTCATAACAATGAACGAGCGTCGCGTAAAAGAAAGCAGAACGAACTGGGCGAGAGAGAACAAGAGCGGCTACCTCTAAAAATACTTGCTTTTATGGGATCGTAACACCGTGAGTTCGTTTCTCGCGGGGCGTGCAGTCAGGTCTACCCACCCGCTCATAAATCCCTCTGGCCGTTAGGCTCACGTGTGAAATTACTATTACGTCTTGTGGTCCTACCGCAGCTGTTACTACGCGGAAACTGCCCGTGTACATACCCCTAAGTCCACGTGTTTCTCAGGGTTCAATCGCATAGGGCGAGGCTGCCTATCACGGCTAACCAGAAACGAAACGAGGATACTGCCTATTGAAGAAAACAAGTAATACCGTTGCTTTAAAATTAAAGTTCCACGATAGATGGATTTCTGAAAGTCTGCGATTATGGAATTGGAAAATGCTAGCGAAGTAGATTACTATAGTGGATTGATATGCAACGTAAAATATTCGCTTTTCTCTTGCAAAAGCTTTATTAAATTTTGCAATAATAATATATTTACATTCTTTAATAAAAATAAGAAATACGGGGTATAATTTAAATCATTATATCTTTGTAACAAAATTATGAATAAATTCTCAAATAAAAGTGATACATAACGAGATAATAATATTAATTTGCATTCTGATTATTCGCCAAAGATATTTATATTTCTTCATTCGTCACAGAATCTTAGATTTTGATTCCAAAATCCTTTTGTATAGAAAAATTTGGGATATTGAAAATTGATACAAATTAGTACAATATAAATGTTCTCAAGAATGAAGCTGTGATATATATCGTCTACTATTAATTTTGTGCAATTATAGGAGCAAGAAGTCGATGTATGCAATGAGCCGCGCCACTAATGTCAATTACCGTTAATCCACTTAATTGCTTGCGGTTAATTTCTAATTGAAAGTACAGTGCTGGAACGAATGGGCTTAATCTTCATCGATTATGTTAGAAGCCTGATAATGGCGATATGGCTGGATTATCTCGTTCTTGTTATTTCTCGTTTTTGTCATTTCCATTTGACAATTCATTTAAAAAAAAAGACGATTTTTTGTTACAAAGATGTAATGATTTAAATTATACCCTATCGAGTTTTAAACATTATTTCTTATTTTTAAAAAATGTTATCAGTGCACTATTTTTGCTATAAAAAGTATGTTATCGGTACTATTTTTCGAGCACAGAAGGCTTTAACGCAATAAACAAAAATACGACGCAATATGCGAGCAAAAATAACCAATGAAAATTCTCAATGTCACGAAAAAGAACGCACGCGATAATAATTGCGCAACAGTTTTTATCATGCTCTAATTGTTATTCCGCATAATTATTACTGCTCCCACTGTGGCTCACCTTTACTATTCTTTGGCCGGCCCATAACTGCGATGTAATCGCGAATGATAGTTTCCGGAACGCATCCGTGCAATTAATTAACACAATAAAAAGATAATATAAATATAATATTAATCTTGATGATTTGGTTTGTTACTATTCAAAAGATACCATTGAATGTAAATCTCAAATATCACGTATTAATAACTTTATGAATTTTAAAATAAAATTATTTAAGAAAAATTAAATTAAATATAATCAAGTACTATAATATGTTAATGAATATATTCCCTCTTATGTGTTACAAACAAACAATATTACTTACTTATTATATGTATATGAAAAGCCTCACTGTGTAATACAGTGCTTCTTTGTACTACATGCAAAAATAATAGCGATCGGTGTAGCGACTGTCATCCGTGCGCGAATAAATACAGGGTTTCGCGAATATATTATCCATCCGACGTCATACGCATGAAGGTTATCGCGACCGAACGACCGTATAATGTGCTATCTTATTGCCATTTTTGGCGAATAATTTTCAATGGCATCATCGTTCGCATGCAGGAAATCTAAACGGTAGAATTGTAATAAGATTTGCATTATTTCTTTTTTTATTCTGGATTGATGCAAAAAAAGCAAGCTGCAAATCAGATAAAATTATGTCTTGTATTTTTGTGACTTTTGAAAAGACTTTGATCAACACGGTAGATAGAAATTTGTTTTCTCGTCACGTAGATTGATTTACGAAATTGATTTGGATAGTACATAAGGGAAACCGTTTGCGAAAGCCGATGAACAAGAATAATTAGCGTACTGATTACTAGTCGGATATTAGTATTCCCTCTCCGCTGTACGCTAATAGAAAGTTATTCCGCCAACATTGTAAGTGGTGGTTTGTGCAATGCATGTCTCATTCTGATCGCAATTATGGTT